GCAACTGTAGAAAATGGTATTTCTCTCCAGCTGCAGCAATGGGGCCTTAATTATGCCTTGTGGCAAAGGGTCACAGGGGACGTCTAGTTGTTGTCTTCAGAAGGTTAATGATTCCCCAAGTCTTTCTCATTGCAAGATAGGGAGCGAGTACTTTAGGGAGAGTCACTAACTAAATACTGGGTTACATAACTGTGTTTATGGAAGGGCACACGTTTGCTAACAGGCTTAAACATTTTATATACATGTGTGTAGTTCACAGATTTGCATTTCTTTTTTTTTTAACGTGGCTCTCATATGAACCTAATTGACTCTTGAGTGAAGTTCCTTTCTGAGAGATAATAGAGCTCCTAATACATTTTGTTTATGCTTCTATATACAAACAGTTGTCACAATTTTAAAAATACTCCAAAACATTGTATTTTATTGTAGAAAAGCATTCATCAGACTACATCCTGTGCATGGTCCAAACATGCAAACAGCTCAATCACATAGATGGTTCTCCCTACCTTCCAACTGAAAGAACGGAATTCCTTCTGCAAGCCAAATATAGTATATTCTGAAAGTTAAGAAACGCCGTCTGTGGGATTATAGCCCAAGTTCAGTGCAGTTGTCACAACTCCTGCCACAGACCAAATCTGTTTAAAATAAAAGGGGAGGAAGACATATTCGGTCTTGCACAAACAGCAGTTTTGAAACTACCGAACATGGATCTCATATGAAGACAGCGATGCTTGTCACTGAAGCGAAAGAGTCAAAAAGGCGTGCTTGTGTGGCAGTGAGATAATTGTCTCTTTCCTACAAAGTTAGGCTCATGACCCAAAATGTCAGAGAGGAATGCTGCATTTCTACTTCAGGGGATATTCTTAATGCGTCAAGTCCATCCGGGTTAAATTTACTCTTCCACAGAACTAAAATACAGGGACAGATGTGCAGAATAGTGACACTTCCATTCACTTCGGTGGCTGAGGCATCCTCTACTTACTCAGAACAGTGATTTGAGAAACAATTTGTCTTTACATAGATATTCTACATAAAAAGAATTATTAAAAAAGAGTGAAATTGTAAAGCCAAGTATTCCAGAAGTTAGTGTTGTAATTTGTCTCACCTGTGCATGGTTTTTAATTTCATTAGATTTATGGAATTGGTTGAAGCACATTAGGTGCCCTCTTGGAGCACATCTCTCAGTTTATTTGAATCTGAAATGAGTTCAGCTCACACGCTTCAAAACTCCACTGTGTAAACCAGAATACAGTAAGTAGGGACAGCCAAAAGATTTCACATGTAAGGATGATCACAACTAAAATCATCTTGTAGATACATCCATTGTTTATCCCTCTGCTATCTTCACGCAGTGCACATAAGAGCTGAACTAACAAGCAGCTATTCAGTAATTTAACCTTTTGTTCCATGTATGGCCCGGAGCTGTTTATTGCCTACTTTTCAACACCTGCTCTGAATTCAGAATTAACATCCTCACCAATTTTTCTCAGAGTGCATCGTAACAGTATACAAGTGTTTATCAGGCAGTAAGTTCACTTGCACTCTGTCTTGGGGATGTGGAAGTGTGCAGCAGTTCCCCTTCTGCAGGCAGTGGCAGACAGGCTGGAGAAGTTAGTGTAAAGTTATTGACTCATTTGGGATTCCAAGATTGAAATTCATCAGACTCGAGAGGGTTTTTTTTTAAGGGAGTTGAATATTGCTCTTGCTCAAACCCCAGCTGTTTTGACATCTGTTACAGTTGTGAGTGCCCAGCCTTCCTGCAAATCAGACTCCAGATTGTCTAGCCAGACACTGGTAAAATTAAAGAAAATTATTAATAAAAATATGTAAAAAAAAAAAAAATAGAATTGTGTTTGAAGCAAGTTGCCTAGCATCCTGCTGGGAGTCTGAGGCAAGAATGGTTGCAACCATTCAGGTGAGTTTGCCATGCTTGCTTTTTTGTGAAGTCTCTTGTTTCTTTTCCTGTGCACTTTCAGCTTTTGCAGCAGATGGAAGAGGAGTTATATGAGGAACAGGTATCTTCAGTGGTCGAGCAGGAGATGTGCTTGCCTTGGAGTTAGCATCTTCTGGAAATTAGGTAGCCCTAGAACTAAATGATCTTGGGGCTTTCTGTGGATTTGCATCTTGTGGTTGGTAGGAAGCTTTGGTTGGTCTGATGGAAGCTTTTCCACTGGGCTGAGGCACTTGTGAGGCTCTCCCTCCATATGAAATCTCCTGTCTGTAGTAATGCATGAATGGACATT